CATCCGGTCTATTCCAACGGCTCTTGAAGAGGCCGCGCGGGTAGACGGGGCTTCGACCTGGGGCACGTTCTGGCGGATTATTTTCCCGCTGATGATGCCGATCAACGCAACCGTAGGCATTCTGATCTGCCTGTCGACCTACAATGACTTCCTGCTTCCGCTCGTTATTATCAGCGACCAGAGCATGTATACCCTGCCGCTCGTGCAGTATATTTTCCAGGGCCAGTTCAATACCGAATTCAACCTGGCGTTTGCCTCTGAGTGAATAGGTGATGGTAGGATTGCGATCCAGCGTCAATAACAGCGTTGTTGCCCGACATGTGGCCACCTAGGAAATAAGATAAAGCTGTCGGATCTCGTATTTGAATTTGAAGTTTGTAAGGCTATCTGCCAAAAGATTATTTCCCCGTACCACGTCACATATTTCTTAAAACTGCGACGTGGTACAAGCCTCGGTGGGAGAGAACCAGTCAAAAAGCCAAGAGCCATACCACCGACTCTCGTGGACTGTCAGTTCGCCTTACGACCGCTTAGAGTGCAAGCTGCTTGACACTGTCTAGGCTTCTACAGTACCACTAACGACGTCAAAGGCGCCGCCCTCCTCACTTCACGTCTGCGAATCGGCGCTACCGTTTGTAGACAGGTGAGGGAAAAAAGAACACATGTCCACCACTTTCGACCTGCTATGCCCAGTGACACACTGCCGATTCCACGTACAGTACGCTCTCAACTTGCTACTTACAGTCGATTTGGGTTCGCCGTGACTGAACAGGAGCTACCTACGGACCATCGTGAAACGGAGCACGAACTAACGGTGGAGAGACTCGACGCGAGTCCTGTCCGTAACGCGGCGACGTGAGGTGAGCAGCTGCGCGCGCTATGCGATGAATACACACAAATGCGAGTGAAAAGCACACTAACGCCGTCTATCTGCACTGCCAAAGATAATACGGTGCCATGGCCTTGAAGGATACTTTTCCTGCCATGCAACAACGTCTCCACCGCTGGATTGGCGGCATTTTTCGCGACCAGAGACGGAAATCAGGCAAAACGCTACGTTACTAGCTCGTGCCGAGTAGCGAAGTACCCCACCACATACCATTCACCACCCGAACCGGCCTACTGGGCGCGCTACGGCCACTTTGACGTCATTTTCTACAGTGCAACCGTGCCATGTTGCACAGGCCGAGGAGCGTTAAGGCCTACAATGTCTACAACTGGCCCGCTGCATGACCATGAACGATGGCCTCGACCATCGAACCAGCGGATAGCGGCTCCGTCAAGCCGGCATCACCGTGGATAATCACCGCAGAGGGTGTTGCGAGGCCAGCTGGAACATAATAACCATTATTGTCCATAGTGAAGATGACCCGATTGTGGTATCCACATGCGCTCCATGGCATGTGAACGTGGTGATGGTGCGCTGGAGGTGTGCGTAGTTGAAAGGTGGTGTGATGCTTTTACTGTAGAGTATGACTTTGCATGGATGGTCGACCGGATCGACCATGTCGACCATAGCATCAACGATTGTTGACTCGTTGCGAGACTGAAAATGGCCGTTAACACTGCGGGCACGGCCTCCACGTAGGATGTGGAGGTCCGCGCAATGTCTACGCCGGCTCAACGCATTGCTAAGTGCATGGAGAGAAGGGGTCGCTGGCTACGTTTGCACTGGATCTGGGGTTTAGTGGTGGAAGATATGGTACGAAAAGAATCTGTTCGGCGGTTTTGAGGTCTAATTTGGTGCATATTTTTACTCCTTCGGAGATTTAGCATTTGGAAAATGGCGAAGGGGTGGGAAGTATGTGCAGCTACACGCCGGGCAAGCTGGATCCCGCAGCTTCGGCCAGTGGTGACCCCAGAGCACAGTTTGGAGGTCGATCGAGGGTACTGGCTGCTGTTGTTGAAGCGCATGGGTTCAATGAGCTGGGTGTTTTTCGAGCTGCGAAAAAAACCCGGTGTTGCGCATATGTCAGCTTGTTCACGCGGGGCTCCGAATGCGAGAGATAAGTATACACTCGTCTGCGTTTACGCCGTCTTGAGGCACCAGAGGGTAGGTATTCGTTCTGCGCTATTTGGCTCTTTGTGGCTCTTGTGGCTGTCGTGACAGGAGTAAGGTATCATGTTGTGGATAATGCGGAGCAGCAGATTTCTTGTCGACACGGGTTTGCAGGATGCTCACGCGGGGCTCCGAATGCGAGAGATAGGTATACACGTCGTCTGCGCTTACACCAACTTGAGGAACCAGAAGGTGGGTATTTGTTCTGCGCTAGGTGGCTCTTTGTGGCTCTTGTGGCTGTCGGGACAGGAGTGGCGTCTAACGTTGTGGCTAATGCGGGACAGCAGGTTTCTTGTCGGCACAGGTTTGCAGGATCGGTAAACTGGAGGCGATTCAATGCGTTGAATGGCAAAGATGAAGCCGACGGATCGTTGCTATGGAGTACGACGGGGCACTCACATGGTATTCAAGTGTGGCGTGATGCTCCGATTACTGCTACACTGTCGATTGCGAGACAGCCGTGGGGCTCGAGGAGTTTTAAACGCGCTGTGCTTTGGGTCGGATTGAGTGGTTCTACCAAAGATCAGGTTGTATTTCTTCGTGTTTTTGCCTTATTTGAGCTGACATTGTGGTACCTTTTTACTCAACAGAATGAAAAGTGGTTTGTACAAGCTCTACGCTGATTCAGAGCACGTTTTCTTGCAGCTGAATAGCAATTCGAGTCGATTTTCCACGTCACGTTTTGCTTCTTCGAACTTGAAAGCCGAACAATAGCTCATGACTGCGATTTGTGGAGCGCTGATGGTGTGATGCAGTATTTGCTTCCTTACCATAGAGTGTGTGAAGTTTGGAAGTCTTAAATCACTGCAACACTGAATTTAGTGCACTTGGTCACTTGGTAAACACAGAGCACCCCTCTACAAATTGCTTTTCAATCATACTTTGCAGTACATTGATCGTCTCATCCCAGTGACAACAAAAAAAGTTCAACAAAAGTTTATAGTTTTTCAGCGTTTTGGTGCTAACACCTCTCATTGTTGTTGCATGAATCTGCGGGTGCCGGTGCTACTAGCACCTGGTCAGCATTGGATTCATTCATATTCATGTCGAGATTCAAGTGCACGTTAGTATCGGAGCAAATTTTCACAGTATAATGCTGCCCATCGCAAGATCAGCATTGTACGGACTTGTAATGTAGCGCCACTCCACTACAAGCACAGGTGTGATGGCAATGAGATCTGCAACCTCCAGTTTCAAGACAAGAGACTCGAATCTATTGCATATGCTGAAGTTTACGTGCGTTCTTATCACTCTGAAGTCAAGCAGGTCAGAAGTGATCGCAGTGGCTACAGCGAGTGGGTGCGTTGCAGCTCAAAACCGAAGGTCGTTGTCGGTTTTGAGCTCCAACGCACAAGCACCTCTCCACTTGATCTCTTTACCACAAACCTTTGACTTCGACTGCGTCTTGTCTTCCTGCTCGAACGATTCACTTTCGGTTTTGATTTCCACCACACAAGCGACCTCGCCACCTCAAGCGCTGCACTCAAGATAACCATTAGCCTCCATCAGCACATTCCCACTCTATCGAGCAAGACTCTGTATTAACCGCTCTGGATCCTACTCGTCGCCAAGCTCTACCCTCGAGGCGCATACACTTTTCCATCTTTGCCGCGCAGCAGTCCGATCTCCTGCTTAAGCGCTTCAACTTCTCTGGCCTGCAGCTTCACCAGCCGCACGAGCTTGTTGCGCTCCTTCATCTCGCGCTCAACCAAGACCTCGTCTTCGTCAAGACTGAGTACACCGCCACTGTCCCCACTGCTACTGCCACCACCCTGATGACGATTGAGTTCGCGTTCCAGTTCGGCCTGACGCTCCGTGAGTGCAGCGATCTGAGCTAACAAGGCCGTGTTCTGCTCGGTCGCCTGCAGAATAGCGTGTTGCAGCTGCGGGTGCGTCTGCTTGGCACGACGCAGAGCTCGCTCACCTTCGACCTCGCGTAGCTTGACGCGAGTCTGCAGCTCGTCGACCGAAGACGCGTCACAAGCGCGATCCAGCACCTCCAGGTCCACTAGCTGTCCGAATTTCAGTCGCATGAGCTGCTCGCTGCGATCCTGAGCTCTTGCAATGGCTTCTTGCTGCTGACGCTTCTCCTTAGCAAGCACGTTCTGCTGTTTGTGAAGGTCTCGGAACTGTTGACGCAGCTTCTTGTTCTCTGCTTGCAGCGACTCGATACGCTCAGACAACGCAGAGAAGGCGCGAGTGGTGAACACGAGGCAGCCATCAGCTTGAGCAGGTAGCGTCCAGTTTTGCCGAGTCGGAGACGGAGCTTCAAGACAACATAGTTGCCGCGTACTGAGCGGCACTACGACGTCCAGCTGGTTGAAGCGCGACTGCTTTTCACTCTGGAACTGCTGCGTATCCTGCTCCGTGGCAGCCAGCTCCTTGTCAATCGCACGTTGCTTGGCTGTCTGACGCTCTCCGGCCTTCCGAAGCTCTTCGATCGCCTTGTTCAGCTCCCCCATGGCGTCGTCTACATCGGCACGCTTCTCACGCAGGGCCAGCACCTTCTCGTACAGAGTCAAGTCGCATCCCGACGGACATGTATCATCTTCTTCTTCGTCATCGTCGTCGTCATCTTCGTCATAGTCTTCGTCTTCGTCCTCTTCTTCTTCATCGTCGTCTTCTAGCTCCTCGCCGTCTCTCGCACTGTCAGGCTCTTTCCCTTCTTCCTTGCCACCTGAAGCGGGTTTCTTCTTAGCTCGCTTGATCTTGCGCTTAAACAGCTTCTGCAGCGCCGCAAAGCTCGGGTGAGGTGTCGCACTTGACCCCGTGCCGCCGTTCACAAGCGTCAGGAACTCTGCTTGCACAGCCTTCTCCTGTCGCGCCCATTCATCCAGATCGCGTTTCTTGATCGTCAGCAGGTCTTGGACATCGCGCAGGTCCGCCACAATCTGCGCCTTTTCCCCTTTACTCTTCTCGAGTTTACTGCTCAACAGGTTTTCCTTGCTCTCGAACGACTCAAGCAGCGACAACTCGCTAAGGAGAGTGAACAGCCGAAGTTCCGCTTGCTTGAAGCCTACCTCGAGAGCGAGTTTCTCATGACGGAGGTGAGCCACAGCAGCGTCAAACGACGCTATCTCGCGTTGCTGCTTGCGCTCGAGCAGTAGCGCTTCTTGGCGCATCAAGTATTCATGGACAACCACGTCATCCTCGTCCATGTTTTCTACATTTAGAGCACCCGCGTGTGCAGACGAAGCCGTCGCAGCAGCTGCCGTACCGTCGTCCATCTGCAGATGTAAATGGCCAATGGTGACGCCCTTTGCAGCCTCCTTTCCCGACGTTCCTTCCAGAGCTCGTGCGACGGCA